TAAGCCAGGCTTTCATATCCGGAAAAAATAACTATATGGGTCCCAATAAAACCAATGTAATTTACATCAATATAAATATAATATTACATCAATATAATAGGTTAGGGTTATGGTTAGGGTTAGAATTAGGGTTAGGGTTAGGTTTAGGCACATTGGTTTTATTGGGACCCATGTTCTCTATCCTTGGGCCGTAAGTTCGCCTACAGTTGTATGCAGTAAAATCCTAGAGTCTACTATCCCTATAGTCCAGATGACTGTAACCTGGAAACCAGAGTCTACAGAACAGCCTGAACAGGATCTGGAAATAGTTCTGCAGCCAGTGTAGGCCCGTCACCTGGGCTACTATCACTGTATCACAGACTAAGAGAATAGTAAGATTAAACAACGAGCCGCTGCTGCTATAGCTCTAGTATAGTAGTACTAGAGCTACTGCTGCTAGTACTATGACTAATTACTTTTAATATGTCAAAATAGAGAACAAGGATAGAGAACATGTAGCCCATTGAAACCTTTGTCATTTTCTTAAATGTGGGGGTAGCCCCTTTAAACTCGACAGGGGTACTGGTGAGGGTGTTCTTTGTTCAGTTCAACCGATAAACATGATGTGCTTATAGTAAGTAAGTTGTTTGTGTTCTAATAGTGTAGGCTATGTAGCCGAGTTAATGTCCTGCCAATGGAATATCCTCCCCAACACAATGTAACAAACAATACGGAGAGTAGAATCTCATCTACGGATAACATCTGTGGGACAGTAGGCGTGTTCACACACAAGAAAAACCGCGATGCTAATCGCGATGGAAATACCCAGATAATTGTGTCGTTGTTCACACAGGCGGAAATATCTCGCTAATCGCCGAGCGGGATAATTCTATTAATCGAACTGCGCATGCTCACTGCCGGAATGATGCTCACTGCGCATGCTCACTGCTCACTCGCTTGGAATGATGGGATAGAAAATACCGGGATTATTGGCGCGAGCGTTCACACACGCAAATAATCGCGCTAATTCCAAATAATCGCAGTCAAAAGTGCGATTTGATGCGCGATGCTGATCTCGATTATTAGTGAGATTATTGCGTTCACACTTGTAATAATCTTGGTATTTCGATCGCGATGCAAAAACCGGGATTTGCATCCCGCTAATTCGCGCCAGTGTGAACGCGCCTAATGTCAAACCAAAACAAAGACACTGTCCAATTTGTCCATGTCTATAAGTACACTAGTATAGCTTTGCAATCAGAAGGGACCTATGTTAACAATGACTCATAAAAAAATAATATTTAAAAAAATAAAATAAATTAAAGTGAATTTCTGATAATCGATTATTTGTTTTCATATAATCGATCGATTTTCGATTATAATCGATCATCGGGACATCACTAATATATATCATATATTATATATATATATATAATA